TGTTATGAAACTTTGTTTAATTTTCTCATTAAAAAATCAGCCTTATTTAAAGTCATTAAATTTTGGAGAGGCTTATGCAAAAACAGGAACTCAAACAAATATAATTTGAGATTTATCTGGGTTCTTTTACAAGGTGATTGGTGTTTCCATCATTTGTGAAACCTGTTCAGTCATTATTTTGGGGTGTGTGTGTGTGTGTATGTGTGTGTGTATTACAGACAGTCTCTTAAGTCGTTAAACTGTCAGGCTGGGCTTCAATTTGCAATCCTCCTGCCTCAGCCTCTAGAGGGCTGGGATTACAAGCACACACCACCACATCCGTTTAGTCATTATTTCTCAAAGTATTGCTCTCTACTCATGCTTTACATTATTTCGTCTGAAACTCCAATTGAAGTCTTTTATGAACTTTCCACTCTATTTTCCAAGTATCTTCATTTCTCTTTCTTATTTTGCATTTTATATCTCTATGCTACCATAAACATGGCTATGTATGTTTGTGGTGATTAATGTTTTGTATTAGTCACTAAAATTTTCCTCTAATCCCTTGATTTATCTACTTGTTTTAACCATATTTAACCTTCCTATTGTACTTTCCAAATTGACATGTAATTTACAGGTTCTAAAATGCACAGATCTTTGGTGTACAATTCAGTGGTTTTTGATGCACGTTATACTCATAATCACAACTACCTTATAGTCAAGATAGAGGCATTCCCATTATCTTATGCTTCTTTCCCACCAAATGCTTCTCCCAGGGACAACCTTTCCATTGATTTCTATAACTGAATCCAGAATTTTGAGCAGTGTAATCTTGCAGAAAGTGCTCCTTTATGTGTGGCTTCTTTGGTTCAGTATAGATTTTAAAATTCACTCCTGTTCCTGCCTGCAGCCTCTCACTCCTCTATCCCTGAGCCACCTGCTATTGCTGGATGTTGTGGTGTAAATGAATGGATGCAGCTGGTGATGGATATGTGCACTCTTTCTCGTTCAGGGACTGCTGGGAGTAAAGTTGTTACGCACACTCATGCTTGATATTGTTGCAACTGTGATTTCAGTTTTCCTGGATAATTACCAAGAAGTAGAATTTCTTCACATAGTATATGCTTGACTCCATGAAAACTAACTGTTCTTCAAATTAGTTTACAATTGCTTTTCTCACCACAAATGTGGGGTAACAACCTTACCAACACCTGCTCTTCCCAATCTTTGTAACTATAGTAATTCTCATGAGTGTGAAATTGCACTTCTTTGTGGTTTTAATTTGCATTTCCTTGATGACTAGTGATACAGGTAAATGACCATTCCTATATTTCTCTCATAACTTTTTGAAAAATGTCTGTTTCTTCCAGGGATGTAGCTCAGTGGCACAAGTGCCTACCTGGCAAGCAAAAGACCCAAGTTTGATTCCCAGTAGCAAAAACAATTATTTGTTTTTGTTATGGAGTTGTAGGAGCTGTCTGTGTTCTGGATACAAATCCTTTGTCAAGTAAATGTAAATTACAAATATTTTCTCTCAGTTTATGGCAAGATTGTTCATTTTCTCAATGTACATGTCTATTGCTGGACTTTATTCTACTAGACTAAATTATGTATCTATCTATATACCGTTATTACATTGCTCTGATTACCACAGCCCTATTTGTTTTGACATCGGATAATATAAATGGCTCAGTTTTGTTCTTTACAAAGTAGTTATTGACTCTTCTAAGCGTTCTGCATTACCAAGGAAATTTTAGAAAAAACAACTTTTCCACTTCTAATGACTGTCTACTGAGATTTTGACTACAATGATCGTGAGTCTGTATAGATCAATTTGTAAAAATTAGACACCTTATCACCTAGATAATGTCACACCTGCTGGTGAGATGCCACTGGACTGTGAGCTATATAGTCTATCAACATAGCATATGCTGCCATTTAATTATGCTTTTTATCAGTGATATTTTTGTGGTTTTCAATCTAAGTATATTATATATTTGCATACCTTAATTTTATAATTTGTCTACAATTATTATATTATCTTAACAGTATATTTTACAATGTTTCATGAGACTATAAATGTCATTTTACTTCATTTATAAATTTTTGTTGCTAGTCATACATATGGACAGAAATTTCATTTGTCTGTTGATTGTGTACCTATAATCATGCTTAACTTACTTATTCATTTTAGTACTTCTTTGGCAGATTTTTTTTAGACATTTCTGCAGAAAAATGTATGTTGTCTGCACGTAACGAAGGTCACTTCTTCCTTTTTAATATTTGTCCTTTTGTTTCCTTTTCTTTAATTTCTTTTGCTGGGACCTCTGACACAATGTTAAATAAAACTTACAATGAGATAGTCTCGCCCTGTTCGCGGTCCAGTGGCGTCTCACCAGCAGGTGTGACATTATCTAGAAAGATTCATCCTGTTCCTCATGCACTGAGAAGTGCCCCAGTGAGCAACTGGAGAGCAGCTATTCAAATGTGGACTCACCTAGCCTCGCGTCCACTTCTCAAGGCTTGAACATCTACCTGTTGCTGCTGTCCAGTGCCTTTGCACATGTTTACACAAGTATTTTCATCCATCTCAAGAGGACGGTCCAATGCAAACTACTACACTATTAACAAAATCTCCCCCGGAATATTTAATTTTAATTATTATATTATCTATTTGTTAATAGATTGTTAATTTTTTCCCCAAAACCTGTTAGATCTTTTTGAAAGCCACTCTTCTTTATTCATTTTCATCCCTTTCTTATTTTAAAATGTGTTTGACACATTTATGTACATTCTATATCTGATTACTCCAATTTGAGGCACTTGAAGTGTCTGCTTTCCATTTACTTGTTTATTTATTTATTCATTTATTTTTGTTTCTGGTGAATAATGTTCATGGTGGCTTCCTCCCTCATACACTTATTTTGTTGCTGTTGTTTTTAGATGTGAGCTTATGTCCCCAGGAACTTTATCTCCAAAAGTTCTTTGTGTTTTGAATCGAGTGCATTCTTCCAGAGGCAATACACACTGGTTCATGGGAACTTAGACATGTTACCAACATGGATCCATTTTCATCTAAATTCTTGCTTGCATTTTCCCATGCTTGAAGATGAGGTCCCCAGTCTTCATTAAGACCAGCCTGTGGCCAAGAGTTCTTAGAGGTGACTTTTTTTTTTTTTGCTCCCCTCCCAAGAACCAATAACGAGAAAGGCATATTTCTTTGTATGTACTCTGTCTTTATAAATTTGATATTTGTTTCTTGTTTCCTTTTTCTCTGAGAGTTTAATCTCTGTGATTCCTGGCTGTATACAATGTTCTCTGCATTAGCTTTCCCACACTCAGGTCCGAAGATTGGTCCCCTGTTCCCAGAGGACAGAACCATGGAAAGCAAACCTCTGCACTACGTGGGGTTGCTGGTGTACGTAAGAGGGCAGCTGCAGGGCCTGATCTCCAACACCCGCTCCTGCCGAGGCTCAGTTCTCAGCCCCAGAGGGACTCCCATGCTCTCTTAGGAACTTAGCAGTGCATTTATAACACTGCTTCTCTTGTCTCATCTGGAATTTTCAGACTTCTGGTAGTAAGAGGCTTTTAAGATGCCTAAATTAATATATAGTTAGAAATGAAAATCTTAAACATTCACTTTTAATCTCTATAAGCTTTAGTTCTTACTCTTCAGTTAGATCTTTGACAAGCAAATTAACAGAACGGACAACAATGGCTAAGAGGAGAGTCACTGATCTCTGTGCCCATTAATACCAGCTATACTACCTGAATTTTTCAAGAAAATAGCTATGAGAAGGAAAAGATGAAGAGGCCAATAGATGGCCTTCATCCCCCATGATGGTTTTACTTCTAGAATATGCCAAAGGGCTTCCCTAAAGAGCTGTAGGAGGCAGAGCAAATGAATGTACTGTGAATCAGGAATGATTGTGGCCTTGTGTTAGTACCTCACCAGTTTTCAAAGCTGTCTTTCATAGATAAAATGAAGCTTGAATGGATCAAAATGTTTCTTGGAATTTAGCCAGATTTCACATGAAAGGGCTTTTATTTTACTCCACTGTGGGGAGAGGTCTCTCAGAATTCACACAGAAGAAAATGTAATTCCTACAGCTACATTTTGCAAGGACAGCACGTGGATGCTAAAATCTATGTTGTAGACTGTTAAGCAGATTCACTGAAAAAGGTTTAGCATAGTAATTTTACCCACAGTAGCTGCTTATGAAACAATTGTAATATTTCCTTGTATAAAAGTTCTGAGGTAGGAAACTTGTAATACTGTGTACATTAAGCTCAGAGGTGGTTGAATGTCCCTGGAGAACTATGAAAACTGACCCAAGAAGACTTGGCCTTGGCTCCCCAATCCTATCGGATTCCCTCCTGAAGCACTCTATAGTGCGATGGTTTCTCCTCAGTTATGACCATCCAGTCTATTTTAGTTTCTCAGTTCATGTGATGGTAGCATTTTTTTCTTTAGCATGACATGCAAAGGAGCTCCTATGAGGCATTCATGGATTACAAAGGCAGAAAACAAGAAAAATCTTTGTCCTCATAAAGTCTGTAGTCAATCCTGGTTGCCCCTTAGAATCACCTGAAAAAATTTCAAAACAACTCCATGGTTTATATTTAGTTTATCTTTTCCCCTTATATGGACAGCAGATGTCTTGGGGCGGGAGTCATACTATATCCTTTCTTTATTCCTTATAGCCAGTCTGACACATGGTAGCAATCAATTAAAACCTAGTTAAATTAAACAAAACTACTTTAAAAATCCAATTTTAGAGACATTTTGTTATGTGAATCTTTAGTAGGAGTCACAACTCTGGTGGAATCATTAAATTCCTCTGCCAAAATGAATACCCGCAGAATATTGTTCCCAATGTTAACTGTGACAATTTCAAAGGAATCGCACTCCTCCTAGAGTGAAAAGAGAACTGTACCAAAATTAAGAAGAAATTGCAACTGTTACACAAATTTTTTGTGGGAATACCTCATGATACTGAAAGTGAGTGAACTTGTCTTACCAGTTTGAGGTAACCCTCAGCATCTAGAATTAAGTTTTCCGGCTTCAGGTCTCTGTAGATAATACCTAGTCGATGCAGGTAATCGAATGCTTCTGTCACACAAGCAACACAGAATTTGGAGGTAGGCTCATCAAAACTGCCTCTGTAATGAGATCAGGTTGCCTCTTAATACCTCAGATGTATGTCTTTGGTGCTGTGCTAGGTAGCACCTGTCCCACTAATATATTTGTGCAATAGAAATGTTTTGCAGAGGATCAACACTGAAACTGTTTTATGCTACCCATGAACCAGGCTGCTTACTGATCATAAAGGAATTCAGGGGGAAACTTGATGCAAACTAAAACTACTTCACTAAAATTAAAATGTTGACTTATTGGTCACATCTGAGCAAATAAAGTTAAAATAAATAAGAAAACAAAGCCTTTTAAAAGACATCTAAAGCCACCTGGAGAAAATGAAGCTACTTCAGTGGCGAGCTTGAACTAGATCTTGGTAACTGTTGCTTGACTAACACATGGTTAGTGGGATAGTTTCTCAGTTCCTGTTTGCATGGCCCGTAACCAGGAAAAAAGGAGCCCATATCTCTTTCCTGTTTGGTGCCCTTTGATCTTTTATTAAAAGTGCCCTGTTCTGGCATGGTGCATAGCTTTACACACTGAGTTTTTAAATTGTGGGGGTGAGGGCTGGGTATTTAGCTCAGGGGCACAGTGCCTGCCTGGCAAGCGCAAGGTCATGAGTTTGATTCCCAGTACTGGAAAAAAAAAAAGACTAAATTGTGGGGGTGACTTATCCCATGAAATAACAGAAGGGCATGACTTTGGAGGGAGAAACTGGCTCAGATTCCTCCTTCTTCCACTCCCTGTACTCTTGGACAAGTTCCTTAGCTATTGTAATCCTTAGGATTTATGCCTGTAGATTGGGTTGGCTACTTATTTAATAGGGTTATTATCAACACTAACAGGTGCCTAACAGGTAGCTGGAACTCCCATTTTAATATAGATTTAGATTTTCTAAATACATTTGCTTAGTGAAACAAAGATAGAAGAAGCTGATGCTTTTGCAGGTATCATAAAAGTCTCCACACCCTTCCAGGCTTTCTCCATTTAAATTCATCTAATAGTACACAGCACTGTCACCTTCTACTTGGAAGCTCAGTGGTCTTTGCTTGCCTAGCTCTGTGATTCTCAGCTATGAGAGTGTACTCAAATTGCCCGAGAAGTATTAAAAATATTACCCCCTCTGGCCTTAGGAATCAGCATTTCTACTTTTTAAAGCTTCCCATGTGACTGTCACGTGTCCCCAGGACTGAGAACACTGCCCCAGGTAAGACTGTGTCAAAGTTTGGCCTGGCAATAACACCACCATCCAATGCCAATCTACCTTCCTGCTATGGTTTGTGTCTGGATGTCCCCCCAAAGCCTCACGCAGTCATGGGACAGGCTTCTAGAGTTTATGACTGATTCCTGGGTGTGAGTGCTATACCCGCCCAGGGGCAGGTAGTTTGCATACAATGTAAGGGAGAGAAAGAGGCTGCTTGCCTCCATTCCTCCCATTTGCTCTGGCTGCTTTTGCTATCTTCCACCACCATGAACTGTTGCCCTCTGCCGTGTGCCACTCTGCCTTGGAGCCAGCCAAGTATGGACTGAAACCTCCACACACTGAGCTAAATAAACCTTTTCTTCTTTACTTCTGGGTGTTGGGTATTTTGTCTCAGCAATGAGAGAAAAGTAACCAAGACACTTCCCATTTCCACTTCTGCTTCCCTTATCTTCTTCTCCATTTCTTCTATTTGTCATCCACAGAGAGCTCATACTATGCTAAATTTCCTGTGCTGTCCTCGCCTGCCTCACTGGCAAAATTTTTTATCATCTTTGCAGTTTAGTTCAAATTCTTCCACTATCGTTATGATTTTTTTCTCTCTCCCTTCTTCTGAGTTTGCTAGCTACAGTACTCTTGTGCCATTTAATTATACATCACCAATGTTTTCATCATATTTAGTTTTCATATTAGTGAAAAAATGGTAAATCATATAATTTCCCCCAAATAACTCTAAACTTGTTAGAAAAGTGTTTACACTGTTAGTCTGCTGGACAGAAAAAAAAACTACACTGTCTAGAAAACCCCTGTACTGCCTACTATGAAGTCTCCTACAGAAACAGTGTATAGGACATATCTATAGTTTTGACTGTGGGGAAACCACCCCTTTGGTAAAACTGAACTTCTGTAAAAATCATGTGCTCTTCAATTAGGGCTCTACCACTCCCCAAAACATCCTTTTTCCTTAAAATTTGGAATCTGAGTTTGTACTGTGAGCCTGCCAAGTGACCTTGGATAGTTTAACATTTCCAAACCTGGGATCCTTTAATGTCTAAAATAAGGATAATGAGGGCTACTTTATAGGGTACATAGGACACAAATATAATGTGAGTTAATAAAATATCACTATTACTACTTTTTTATCAAGAGATAACATGTTATTGTAATCTTTTCCTAATAATTTCCTTTATGCTCTTCAATCACAAATACAATTTCCTCCATACCAGATGTGAGTAAACAAAAGCCGGTGCTTGCAACTCTTTTTCATTACCTGTCCCTTAAGATGCTCCACAGCTCCCCGCCTAAGCAGGCTTCCAGAAGCATGTACACGTACTTATTATCCTTGAAAGTACGGTATAATCTGTGAAGACAGATTAAAAAACATGATTATTTGAAATGTAGTTTCAAAATCTTTTTACATTCACTTAAGAGCATCATTTTGAATGATGAGCCTCATTTCCATACAAATATCCTACAACTACACTGGGCTTCTCTCCAGAAATTCCTTCCCCTTTCCTACAGCCTTGCATCTGCTTACGTGGATCCTTTTCCTGAGTCTCCCTCCCACTTCCCACACACTGAATGTCTTCATCTGAGCTTCACTGTAAAAGACTGAACCATTCTTCAAGGCTACCTTCTTACTAAAGCAGCTCATTCTCCCACCTACCCACCAAATGTGGCCTCTCCATCGTCCCGGAAACCACAGGCCCCACGTGTCACTTTGCACAACAGTTCTTCATGCTCATTCTTTATGTCCCCTAGCTAGTTAACTGGTTTTGGAGTCCCCTGAGACAGACTGTAAGCAGGAAGTCTAGTGGGGAGTGCACTTAGGAACAACACCAGAGAGAAAGGAAATAGACTGGGCAGACAGAGAGTCGAGCTAAGATCTGAATTGTTTTAACAGAAGCCCCACCTTCAAGGCGCTCTGCTGCCCTGAATGAGAATGTCCCTGGAGGGCGCTTGGTAGAAATATGGTTCTTCTTACCCAGGAACAGTGCCAGAGGGCTGAGCAAGAATCCGTAGGTGGCAACCCTCCTGGGGGAGGGGAGCTTCAGTGCTGGGGTGGGGTCTGGGCAGGAGATCATATTCAAAACTAGGTTCAAGGAGTTCCTTGGTTCCCCCTTTTCTCCCAGCACCACATGTCGGCTAAGGCTGACTGGAGAACAACCAGAGCTGCACAGGGAGAAGCAGTTCCAGGAATGTGGTTGAGTGGGCTCCAGAACCACACGGCCCAGGTTGGGATTTCAGATCAGACACTTACTAGTTAAGCAACTTAGCTTATGCATTGAACATACACATTAATTTGATTGTACATTGTGTATAAATTGATGATAGATATTTATTGAAAATATATTCCTTTGACCCTCCTACTAGACTAGTGGGGTAAATCTGATGATTTTCCCACTCCCTCTCTCTATGTGTATGACTTAGAAGAGAGCCTGGTGCATGTCAATCTCTCTGTCCAACAAATGTTGCCAATAATATTCATTTTTATTATTATTTCCCTATAAATATGCCATTTTACAAAGAGCTAGAAATGCAAAAATGAATAGAACCTAATCCATGCCCTGAAGCTGCTCATCATAGTTCATTAATGAATATTAATTCAAAAAGGGCGTTCTGGGACCATCATTAAAATAAAGATAATTGGATGACTACTGCCAGCAGTAACTGCGTTCAGACTTCGTTTTTAATCTTAAAAAAAAAATAAGTCAGGGAATATGAGTAGGTAAGAGGTTCTCTCCAGGTATTTGATCATAAAGTAAAAATTCTCTTTATTATAGGGACACTGTATATCCACCAGAAATCACACAATGGGGCTTTATATACCAGCTTGTAACACTAACTTGTGAATTCACAAATAAAGAAAGCTTTGGCCTAGAATAATCTGTGCTTCTCCTCCACACTCTGGTTATAGCTACAGAAGAAAAAGAAAACCTATTTTTTCCTGTGGTTCCTAGCCATTGCTAGGAGCAGGGTACGTCTCCCCTTGCAGCCAGCATGTGTCCAAGTGCCATTTCCTGCACAAATTCAACACCAGCGCACCCTCTGGGGGGTTTCTTGTGGACTTGGGTTTCCCTATTCCCAAAGCCTACACTAGGTTTGGATAAAATAATCAGTTCAAATGATTCTGCAATAATTTCACCCTCACACATCAGACACACACAAACACACTTTTGTAAGGGTTACTCAAGAGGAGAAATAACGGGGAACGCTAGGCTCAGATCTTACTGGAGAACTCAGAATGAAGCCTTCTGTTTCCCAGGGACATTCAGAAGTTGAGCCTGCAACTCCAGTCTTGAGAGGCACAATGTTCACTCACTTCACAATGAACGGCGAACACAGCTCCTCCAGGATCCTCTTCTCAGAGTAGACGTGCTCCTGTTGTTTGGTGTCAACTATGTGCTTCTTCCTTATGCACTTCATGGCAAAGGCAACATTCTCATTTTTTACCTTAACCTATGTAAGAAGCAGCAAGACACTCAAAATGAACTTACTAGGGAAGATCTGCAATATCTAATTAAAATATTAATTAATGAGAGCTAAAGTCACTTTGTATTTCAATAGTATGCAAGCTTTTAACCCCTTCCCTCCAAAACTGAGTTCCATGTATGAGCACAAATTTTCCTTTAATCATATTTCCAAGACAGCTCAGATACGTGGATCTAAGGGGCGGGGCAGTATTGAAACAAGAAAAAATTCAGGCTACAGACAATCTTTAGATATCTATTCAGATTTGCTTGTGTAACATGAAAAATGCTGGCATGAATTATTATGTCTTAATATTCACCTTTTGGGTTTTGCAAAGCAAAACATATTCAATCAAGTTCTGTATCTGCATTATTCAGTAGGGTAGCTACCAATCACAGGAGTTTGGTTGGTTATTTATTTATCTATTTACTGATTGTGGTGCTGGGGATTAAACTCAGAGCTTCTGGCACTGAGCTACATCCCCATACTGATTTCTTTTATTGAGACAAAACTTAGTACCTTACCCCGGTTAGGCTCAAACTTGCTATCCTCTTGCTTCATAGTCCCACAACACTGGGATTGCAGGCATTCATCACAATGTCCAGAAAATTTTAAATTAATTAAATTCAGCATTGAGTTTCTCAATTGCCTTAGCTACATTTCCCACACCCAACAGCCACAACCCCCTACTGACTACCCAACTGAATAGCACAGATGCAGGACATCACACTGTCTATCGGACAGTGCTAGTCTAGAAGTAAAATCAAAATTTTCCTTCAAAAGGAAGCTAAGATTTTAAAATAAGTGTTTTGTTCTGATAGGCTTAACGCTCCGTAAGCAGATGCACTAAACAAGTAAGTAAGGTGTGCAAAAAAAAAAGTGCACTCTGATTTTTGTTCACTGCCTACCACTGTTAAATCACTAGTGGAATTACTGCTTCAATCACTGTTGTCAAGGATAACAGATTACAGCATTGCTAATTCAATCTTTGTGCCATGATCTTTGGTAAGAAACACCACTGCAGATGGATAATGCCCTTATCTCTCCATACGGCATAAGGAATATTGCAAATATTAATTGACCTATTAAGAAACTATTTTCCTGCATCCATCAGAGATGAGGCATGGACTAGGTGGGGAGTGTACCACTGGGGTCTCCGGCAGCTTGACAGATCTGCTCCTGCCTGAGGCCCTCAGCAGACAGAGGCATCAGTAGAGCTCCTGGAGGTCAGTGCACACTGAACTGCTAAAAATCTGGTAGGCAAAGAAAGGCTTGGTAATTGCCAAGGGCTCTGAGCCATCTGCACCCCATAGGGTTACAGATTTCCCATGCACAGTTTCCTCAGAATACTTGATCTGACAGTGCTGCTCGGCTACTCCTTGAAAGCTGATTATTAAGCACAGACAGGTTTTGATGTGGAAGACAGAACTGAAATCAGCCTGGAAGTTTCCAGCTGCCCTGGTCAACACTGCAGAAAGCTGCTCCTCAAACAGTTTTTGCATCATCTTTTTTCCTTTTTCTCAGACGGAAAATTTTGAGCAGCCCAAAAATAGGACGATGAAAGCCAAACACAGACATGGCAGTGGAGATGTTTAAGGACTGCAACCATAATATTCAGGATTCAATTTCTAGACAATTTCTGCTGAAAACATTCCTCTGTTCTTTAGTGCATAGCAAGTTAATGTGTTGTGAGTGTATATATCTATATGTACGTACTTTGCTGACCAGAAGTGCAAGTTTGTTTTCTTCTACAAATGCTTACTTGAGAACCATGATCAAGAAAACAAATTCACCAAAGGGTTTATGTAGAAGCTTGAACTATCAGCCAATGCTAACAAGTTACTTACTAGGGCAGACCTGCTACTATACAAGGTACAGATTGAAAACTTTACTTTCTTGATTTCAGATCAAAACAATATTTAAGATAGCAATTATAATTCACATATTCCTCCAAGATCAGCTGGAATATAAAACAAAAAAAGAGTCAAAAGGCTTCTCTCAGATGCTTGAAACGTAAACCCCTTACAAGCTCAACTCTTCCGAACCCACCAACGCCCAGTGTTGCGATAATCTCAAGGTTCTGGAAGGGGGATGAGGAGGAAAATCTGGCCACCTTCTCCTTCAGCTGAATCATCTCCAGAGAGAGTGCTTTGGACAGCTTCCAGTTAGACATGGACCGCCTGAACAAGAGAAGGGAAACTTTACACACAAGCCGTTGGGTGGCACTCGAGCAGGTGCCACGCCTTTCAGAAACTCCACTCTCAGGTGTCTTATTTCTGCCTGCAGCGCTGCCTAGAACTGCCACAAAATCTATATCAACTTTGATATGGTAGGACCAGATTCAGGCACATCTGGGGAGAAAAACAATGGAATATACAATACACACACAGAACAGGAAATAGCCAAAAGTCAAATTGAAATAGACCTCAATACAGCCTCTAATATACAACTCAGAAAAGGAGGCAAGGGAAGGTAATAAAAGCACAGAGCCATTTCCACTGTAGCACATACCAGAAAAGGCCACACCGGGAATGTCTGCCATCTTTTGCTACTTTTATTCAATTTTGAAGTTTTCTAAGACTTACCCAGAATAACTGCTTTGAGAAACACAAAAAGCACATTTCTCACTTTATGTCTATGTACTGTTTGGAAATATCTGTTTTTCTCTTTTAATTAAGCCATACTTCTCTGAGGTATATATTTGCAAGCTGTGAGAGGGAAAGGCTTTTGGCATAAATTGCAAATTTATTCTTTGCAGAAAATGTGGTAAGTATTGGTCAGATGCACTAACTCAAAAGTCACTCTTCTAGAAATTTTGATGACACAGCTTTGATAGCACTATCTGATGGATTGCATTTAAGCTTTCACTCAAAAATGTTTTGAGGGCTAGAGTGTAGCTCAGTGTACAGCACCTGCCCAGTACGTGCAAGGCCCTGGGGTCAGTCCCCAGCACTGCAAAAGATGAAGACATAAAATAAAAACTGAAAAGTTTTAGCAAATAATTTTCACTTAAAATAGATTTTCTATTTAATTACAGCTCTATCCAACCTCCTCTTCCTACACACATACACACACACACACACACACACACACACACATACACACACGCACTCATGCATCTGTACACTTGTCACAAGGTGATAGCTCCCTTACATTTTGAAAATATCTCACTATAACCCTACTGTTTTCCTGTACTCAAGTATTGATGTCTTTTGGGGCTGTTACCAATGTTTTCTCCCTAAAATCCCTGCTCATCATGCAAAACAAAGTTGCTAACTACTTATAAACTTAATAACCAGTGTTCTAGTGCTAAGTGGTGTCTTTTTGTGAAAATCTATTAAAAGTTACTACAAGCAATCATAACCCTGTGTCCCCTCCTTTATCTGCTGCCAGAAATCAAATCTGGGTAGAAAAATGTTCTCGCACTTACTTTGCATGTCTTTTTTCATCATCACGGTTCAGGTTTGCCACATACCCCTCAAGGTATTTTTGGAGTTCTTCAAATGTCCCGACAGTTTGGTTGAATGTTCTAAATAGATAAAATAAAATAAGATGCTCTGTGCTGATAGGTACCAAGGCAACTTGACGTTCTTCTTAAACTCATAATTCACTATTTGTATGGTTACTCATGGCTTTGTACACTTTTCTCAATAATTTAAGGAATATGAAAGTTGCTGTAATATCGGCTTATTAGTGAAAGCCCTGTAATTGATCTTTTGTTTATGAAGGCAAAGGAAGCTATTACTGAGAAAACACTATGTGTAGTTATCCAGCTTGCAGTTCTGGTTTACCAGCAATTACTTGTTTTGTTTTAAAAAGACAGTGGACTGATCAAACAATTACACATTAACTGTTCCTTTCAATAAACCAATAGAAACTAGTAGTACAATTATCTTAGCTATCTTGTGTATATATACATATATATTTTCCCCTTCCATCTTTCTTTTTTTCCAGTTTTCCCTCATCCCAGTTGTTCTTTCCTTTTCAGCAATTTCTAACCACTTTGAACATAACCATGTGTAATATAACAGCCATCATTCATTTCCTATCACCTTGTTTTGAAATTCTGTATCAGTTTTATCATTTTTATGTTGTTTTGTTTGTGTCTTTTGTTATTTTGTTTTTGTTCTTTTCCCTTTAAAAAAATAAAATTTTGACATTTGAACAAAGGTTTAAAAAAAGACAGTGGAAAGAGTAGACATGATCTGCCTGCTGAATCAACAGGTTGGAAGGGTTACAGATTCTTCTAACACCAATTAATTAAATTAAGCTATTAAAGATCAAAGGTAAGATTTATTTCTTCTCCATCTCTGAGAACTCTCTACATTTAGCATTCTTTTGTAATTAAATCCAATTTTTCGCCCTTAACTTAGTTGTTCTTTCTGAGGCTCAGTCAATATTTTCCATCGCCCTCACTCAACCTTCCTAGATCATGGAGCTGCTGTGCTCCTGATCTAATCTAATCTCTCATCCCAGCTCACTGTCTCTGAGAACTTCTACACACTCCACTGCCCATGAGAAAAATGAGTTGCATTCCTCCCCAGTGAAAAGATAATTGTCTTGATTGTACTTCCGGCGATTCGCCATACCCCCTTGTAACAATCTCCCTTGATTTGTGTTTTAGGGTACTTCCCTTCCTCACTACAGAATAGTGTCCATGAGAGCACAGATCATACTGTAATTATTTTGGTAACATTTTAAGCACCAGGTACATAGTCGAATGAAAAGAATTAGAATTTACCTCAAAATACCCAAAGCTAATAAACCAGTGCCATCTCAAGAACATACTCTCACAATTTCCTGTGTCTACACACACTTACCTGACAGCGTATCCATTTCTATATCACTCTGTGTGTACTGCACAGTAGGCAAGCCTTCGAGCAGTACTCCCCACTCTTTCCTACCCTGTTCTCTGGACAGAGTTTTGTTGACCGTACAGTAGAGAGACAAGAAACATTTCCAGGGAAATTCTAATTTCCATAACAACTGAAATTTTCAAATAGAACTGAAATATTACTTGTACTTTTTGTTTTATTTATTCCATCCTTCATCATTGTTTTGCTTGCTGCTAAGCTAACTGAAGCACTCTTGTCAACAAATCTTATTTTTTAACATAAGTGACACTGGTGCCACAGGTCCCTAGCTGTTGTCTGCTAACTAATCTTAAAGCTAAACTGCAATAGCTACAACATTCGAGCTGCAACTTTAAAATAGCCTGCATTCATTCAGCTGTTAGAGCCCCAAGGATAATTAATCAACTCCTTTGAGATTTGTACAGACAGTCTAGCAAGGATGGATCTGTCACCAATAACAAACACTTGACATTTGTTTAGAACTCTTACCACATTACTATTTCACATACTCTATCAAATTTTTTTAAAATAGAAAATATTAACTGGGCTCGATGGTGCACACCAGTAATCCTAGTACCAGGGAAGCTGAGGCAATAGGATTACTGAAAGTCCAAGGCCAGCCTAGGCTACAAAACAAGTTTAAGATTGAAATATATAGCGAGACCCTGTCTCAAAAAAAAAAAAAAAAAAAACTAAATAAGAAATATAACTCTAACTTTCCTCTTGCACTGTAGCCATTTTAAAGACATGTTTCCACCAATTTGAACCACCAGTGGTACATGCAGGACTGCCCCATTGGACAGCCTGAACCACCAGTGGTTAACTATTTAACATCAAATGACGGAATTCAAGTCAGAGCCTCTAGGCAGCAAGGGAGGCAAATGATGGCCCCTTCCTGAATGTGTTAAGCATTTGTTAAAACATAAACTAGGAGAGAAGAACTAAGACTGTAGTTCTGCAGTCACCATATTGCATTGCAAGGATGGTAGCCTTTCTGGAGCCACCACCTGGCAAGCCCTTCCCAGGTGCTGAGGGTGATTGGTGGCAGATGTTGCCCCTACCGCAGCAGTGCACAAGCCACATGTTCCTACATTGTCAGAGCTGATAAGAAGAGCAGGAAGACAGATGTTAAACAACACAAAGTGACAATAATGGCACAACCAGGGTACACAGCATGCTATGGGGACATTTTTCAGGATTTTAGTCTTCTCTAGTTTAAGTCATAGCTTAGATGATCATATCATTTATCATCCAATCTGGAATACTTTTGGGAGATGCCAAGGATAAATGTTTCCTAACAGTTTCAGGAAATCCAGGATGTAGATCAACCCAAACATACTTAATTCAGTATCTCTGACCCACAGAATAAATCCACAAAACGTTTTAACCTTTTCTTGTTCCAAATATATATTATGGATTCTTAATGATATGCATGTGAATTAAACATTTTAAAATGATGTTATACAATAATGCTATTACTGCATGTTTTATGGATTATGAGATATTACATAAATATTTTATGTATATGATTATAATGAAGGAAAAAGAAAAGAGCTCTTCTTTTCTATCAAATGTTTTATCCCAGAAATTATACCACAGAGCTAATGCTATTTGGTGCATGCATATACTTTTAAGTAATGCATACAAAATAATTCATTATTGGAACAATACTATACTAATTCATTTTCCATTTGGGAGCTGGCATCCAAAAATTACCTTTATCTGACCACGTTTTGCTCTTTCCTAGTCTATGCCTTTGCTTTGCAGTTTTACTCCATCTAGAGTGACTTCACATTTCCTCTTTGCTTAAAAAAATCCTGTTAACTCCTTAAGCACCATCTGCACACTTGAAAAATGAAATCCACCTTGAAGACTTGTCTGCATAGCAATTTCCAAGCAGCGATTATAGCAGCCACCAAGCATGTATGAGACCATGCAGAACTGACTTAGGAAACATGGGTAATAGCCCCTACTCAATCACAGATGGACCCACTGGGGCAATTCTTTAACGTCTTAGGGACTTGCTCGTCTTACTTGTAAAGAAAAGAATTTACTATGTTAGTATTCTTGTGGCTAGGTTTATAAATGATGCTTGGCTTTTAGAGAAACTATAAAAGTACATACATGAAATTATTTCATACTTCGAATTCAATTGAAAAGTCAGAAGATGGCATGGAGTGGTGAAGGGGTATGGATGAGACACAAGTTCAGAATGGTTGAACTTGTAGATGGAGATTCATGATGCCGTTATGTCTATTTTTCAGCTTCGTAAATTTTCCACGATAGAGGGATTTTAATCCTCTGAAGTTCTTCCCAGCTCTATATCTCTGTGAATCTATGTTCAATAAATGTTGTACTTAGCAGTCAACTATATACCCTGTGACACTCCTTTACAACCTTACTGTTTTTTGTCAGTATCTCGTAAGTATGCACTACTTACTTGACCACATACGGCTTTTCTTAAACAGTAGCTTAGCTTTGGTATGCCTGAGTCTCCTTTATTGTATCTCATAACCAATAAAAAACTGATTAATGAGAGCTAGAAGAGGCCAGGTTAAAATACGACTTGAAGTGAGGGAAAGATAGAAAATGAGATTTATGTTATAAAATAACCTCAGATATTTAGGCATCAATGTTGATATACATCACTTACAAATGTTAAAACTTTGCTAGAAATACAAATAGCTAATGAATATTTTATACTTTTAGAGAGTATTTGGTCAAAATTTTTTTGTGAGTGCTAAGGGCATTTTCTTTATTTTCTGAAGGAAATCGTTTTCTTCAGCAAATACACTTATGCAACTGCTCTCTATATTGTATAGGAAACCCCATAAGAGCATTAATAAGTATTCTCTCTGGAAGTTGTAAAATTGGAATCAGTCTATTGGAGATATTTATGTACAAACTCTGCACACAAAATATTTAGCCTGCCAGCATCTGCCACCGCCACAGCTTCAGATCAGAAGGCTCAGTTCCTCCTCATGAATTTTAATAGGATGTGCTCTCAGCTGAGGATTGGCCAGCATTTCCAAGTGGTAGTGACTGAGAACACAGAGCAGCCCTCTGAGTACCAGAAGGCCGTTTTCAAAGGTGACAGCAGCCTATCTTCTCCAGCAAAACACAGATACTCACTCTCGATCGATCACCAGGCAAGCGACATCGTTCTCTTCAGCAATAATGTTAGCGGACCTCACATCATCACTGCAGACAAAACAAGTCAGCTGTCAGCTTTAATGCAGTTGGAAATGGAACATCCGTTTTCCTAGAGAATCTACTACCTTATATAAAAGCATAACCTTCACTTAAGCTTTCTAAAGACACTTTTTGTAACATTAAAATTTATACTCAACCCCTTTCAAAAAATAGGAAAGGAAAAAAGGATCTAAAATGTGTGCCGGTAAAGATTATGCATGCAGGGAATTCAGAGAAGGCTGAATTGGAAACAGAGGAATCCCTGACTGCAACTGTGATGAAATCTCATCCTGAGCTCTGTGACAGGCAAAATAAAGTAGCTGTCCGCTGAACAAAGGAAAATTACTAATTAACAAAGAGGCAACACAGTAATGAACTGATCAGAGAAATTTAGAGGGAAAACAGTCCAGAGATTAACATAAGATAAACTGGTCAAAAATATAATCCAAAGGAAGAGTTTTCAAGGTCATATCACCTGATTAATTAAATACAAAAATATTTTTATTTTACAGCATGTAAAATGTGTATTTTTCCATTAAAATCTCTGCAATCTGTGAATGAATTATCACTGACAACGAGTTGGTGTGTAATTATCAGCACCATCTTTCTTAGGCATATATAATATAGTAGTATATTTTAAAGCAGATATTTTAGATATGATGAATTATTGTATACAATTTAATGATACATTTAATTTCCTAGTGAATATCAATGGGTCAAGCATCAAGGAAAGCACTTCTTTAGAACCCTTATGTTAGCTTCCCCATCTCTATTAGTTATAAATTAAAGACACTTAAAAGATACACCCTTATGGCAGCCTATGCTCAGAGATCTGTGTAAGGTAACCTGGGAGCAGCGGAAATCAGCATCGTAATAACCAGTAAGACCGACAGTTCTGGGCAACGTCATCAAAAATGGCATCACCCAAACTAAAGTGCCTTTCCCTTTCCTTCATAGTAGGTAGCATGGCAAGCAGTCTGGCACCCATCTCTACCATTCCCAAAGAGTGCCCTCCGCTGCTCAGCTTACATTCAGAGACCTAACTACAGTACCTCCCCACTTTATAGGATCCTTGCTGGAAGACAGCAGGAAAATATTTCAGCTGGATGGACTTTTGAGTCAAAGGCAGAACAGTTTGTGCTCAACTTGTACTTGTCTAATTAGACACAAATGTAGATAGATAGGCAGAGAGATGAAGAAAGAGAGAGAGAGAAAGAGAAAAGAGAGAAAGAAAGAGAGAAAGAGAGAAAGAAAAGAAAGAAAGAAAGAAAGAAAGAAAGAAAGAAAGAAAGAAAGAAAGAAAGAAAAGAAAGAAAGAAAGAAAGAAAGAAAGAAAGAAAGAAAGAAAGAAAAGAAAGAAAGAAAGAAAGAAAGAAAGAAAGAAAGAAAGAAAGAAAGAAAGAAAGAAAAAGAAAGAAAGAAAGAAAGAAAGAAAGAAAGAAAGAAAGAAAGAAAGAAAGAAAGAAAAAGAAAGAAAGAAAGAGAAAGAAAGAAAGAGAAAGAAAGGGATAGGGATGGTGGAGATGAATGCAGGTAGGTCCAGGCACAGACAGGATCTTGGATTATGGGCTAACTATTTCATCTGTGAGTTCAGAGAAAAAACTATGGTAGTCCTTTCACAGAATATCACCATGATTTTCACTAAGAACATACTCTGCAAACGCTTTACAAGTATTAAATGTTCATGAAGAGACTTATAGTCCTCTCATAGTAACTGTGTAAGTGGCATGGATTTATTTTTGCACCAAAAAAAATTCTGAAAGAACTCAGGGGACTATTAATGTCAAGTCATGAAAATATACAGAGCATAAGGACTATGGACTCACAGGCAGTAACCTTAAAAAGCAATGGTATAAACATGCATAAACACATAAAAATGTTTGTTCCCAGATTTCCTTTCCATTGATTTTATCTTTATATACTTTCATTGCTTTGGGAAGCTGGGTGTCCTTATATAAACACAAACTCTCGTGTTTCTTGTAGGGAAACACTATACTTGGCTTGCTGGAACATACAGCATATATTACTTCTGGTCCAGCAAAAACAGATAACGTATTTCCTTCCAAGAGCTGTTTCATAAAGTTCTGTACCCTTCCCAACTTTCACCGTTTCACTTAGGAGCATGAGAAAAATAAAGCATAAATGTTAAGAACAAAACATTGAAGCATTAGATAATACTATTAAATTATGATCGTGCATAAAAAGAAAGATAATTTCCTTCCTATTTAAAGAAGTTCATTACCAGCTAGAAAATCGGAACGAGTCAGTCAACTTGTATTTAAATTCCACTTTTAAATTGCCCACATAATAGCTATCATATAATTTATTAAGTTTTAGCACCTGGGTTTTCTTTTTAAAATAAGAGCTTTGTAATTTTTGAATAATCGAACTTGTCTTCAGGTAATTTCTGAATGTTTTTTGTTGCTCTATAATTATGTAAAGCTGTCGTACAAATCAGCAGAACTGGGGCTTCAGAAACTAAAGTTAAGAAGAAGATAAACAAACAGCAATACTGCTCCTTTAAGCATAAATTTAAAATAAAAGTATTTGGTCATAAATAAATTTTAAGTTATTGTTTAAGTTATTCAAAACACTTACTTAAAACATTTGTAATTTTTTAAAAGTATGTTGTCCCAAACATTAACTTTATATTTTATAAAGTTATTTATATTTAGAAAAATAATTTCTTCAGAAATGAGGTTTTATGCGTTTCAGGAAGTACAAACCCCTTGATTAGCCATTAAAAACACTGCTTCCATAAATTAGACCAATGATAAATAAACTCCTACCTCAAAAAAACTGAACTTTCAGGTAGAAATTTAATATACACTATTTTGAGTTGTTTCTAAAATGAGATTGCAGAATGAGCTGATAAAAATACCTAAAAATACATTGTTTTTGCCATGTCATTATCTGATTTTTTAATTTTTATGTTTTACAAAACTCTGAATAGATTACTATCTCCAGCCATGGGAAAATAAATACTTGTTTTCAACTGTAATTTTCCATTTTTTAAATTGACTTTTTTAAAACTAAAAATTCTTTTTTAATTTTAAAGAGAAAAAATATAAACATAGAAGTGAAACTGAGGTTCAAAACGGGTTAGTAGGACAGTTACAATAGTTGACACACTGTGTATTGCTGTCCTTATAGTAGTTATTCAGAGTACAAGATATAGGCATGAGATCTTGTCCAAACAATATCAGCACAAAACTTTCTTCTTGATGAACTAAGAGAAACTAGCTATATAAGTATCTTGACTATCTTGTGTATACATATTTTTCCCTTTCTTCCTTTCCCCTTTCCCCCATCACAGTTCATCTTTTCTTTTCAACAGTTTCTTCCCAATTCACAATATCTGTTGTACATTTCAGATCTTATTACTAGTGAGACAATATGATGTTTACACACATGGGTCTGATTTATTTCACTTAGGAACATGATTTCGAGTTGCATCCATTTACCTAAAAAAAGTCTCTAGTTTATCCTTCTTTGTGGCTGAGTAGTATTCCATTGTATTAAAAAGACCACATCTTTGTATCCATTCCTTGGTTGATGGGCATTTGGGTTGTTTCCAAGATTTAGCTATTACAAATGGTGCTGCTATAAACATGGGTGCACATATATCACTGTAGTATGATGTCTTTAATTCTTCTGGGAAGATACCCAGAAGGGAAATAGCTGGTTAGAATGGGACGTTCAATCCTAGTTTTTGTCTGTTGTTTTTTTGGTACCAGGAATCAAACTCAGGACCTTGCTCTTGCCAGACAGTTGCTGTGCCACTGAGCTTTCTAGGCACTCTAATCCTAGATTTTGAAGGAATCTCCACACTGATTTTCACAGTGGTTGCACCAGTGGTTCCACAGTGATTGCACCATCTACAGTCCCACCAACAGTGCAGAAGGGTTCCTTTTTCCCCACAGCCCCTCCAGCATTTGTTATCGGTTGAGTTTTTGATGACAGTCACTTTTTCTGACGTGAGATAGACTCTTGGTGTTGTTTTAATTTGCTAAAACTAAAAATTCTAAGAGAACACTAATCTAACTTGCACCAGCCAATTTAAGACTTTCCAATTATTTCATGTGCAAAATTGGTATACTTATTTCCTACAAACAGTGTACTTTTTAGACATCAGTTCAAAGTTGTATTTAATTTGTGGATGTTTGTTATCATTAATTTGGTAGTTCAACTCTAAATGAGTAGTTTCACATGCAAAGCAGCCCAAGCATTTTATTTAGTTATAGTATATACATTCATGGCTTCACCTGATGAGAGCTTTTTCTCCAAAGTATTCTCCTGTCTGTAGTGTTTTTATCAGCTGTGGTTGATCATGGCCCTCGGTACTCTGTGTGACTTTTACCTAGACAATATTAAACCAAACAAAAGAAGAAAAAAAAATCTGAACAAATATCCATTCAATCAAACCCCGCAGACCTACATAAACTCGATGAAGAAAGAAAAACAGAAAAGACAGCTTCACTTCTGCAGTACTCAGGACAATTCCTTTACTCAGCTCTGTTGCATGAATCTGAATAATCCCTTGTTTTAATACAATCGAATGACTGCCCTCTGTGAGGAAGTCTCCACTCAAACCTTCTTCAACAAAGTTATTAAAAATAATCCAGTGATTACACCCTAGAGATTCTCAAAGAAAATAATGATAGACTTGTGGGAACTTTTGTTGCTTCAAAAAAACCGACAGAACTGACAGATCAAGCATAAGGAGGAGCACCAGGAATTCTAAGTCTGGTGCCCACAGATAGGCCAAATTCTGTGTGCTTTGTAGAATGGATTACAAAATATGAATTGGAGAAGAGTCCACAACCTTTGTGGGTATCTCAAAATGTACCATGGCCCAGGAAGGACCCTGATTAGGAGGTCAAAGACTTCAATACTGTATCCCTTATTTGGGCCTACAATCACTCCAATTCAGCATGTCTGTCTCATGCTGACCAGAAATGCTGATTGACATTTATGTATGTCACAATGAATTAAAAATTTTAAAATAACTATAATAAATGTAACTTCTTTCTTAGCCAGGATTCCTTCAAAGCTGGGGGTCCAGGAAGGGGAGCAATAAGAAGCAGTTATTACTATTAAAGACTTTCAGAGACTGGGAACGCTTTTGTTCATATTTTTTCCTTTGCTGGGGGTCCAGCTCAAAGTTCACCCACAAACCTGTTTACAAGAGGCAGTGACAGATTCTATAACAATAAATTCCTCCAGGGAAGATGGAACATTATGCAAAATCTCCGACAGCTTAAAGACACAAGGGATCAATCATTGACTCTTCAATATTTTGCAAAGGATTTTGCCTCTGAGAAATTTAAGACCCAACACAGAAGCAACCCACAGCATGTTACTTGCTAAATAGCTAGGTAAAGCAAAAGACCACTAGGTGTGTGTAACTCCTACTATTGAATATGAATTGAAATTCTGAGCAATATCGGTTTTGTAGCTTGACATCTGACCATGACCATTATTCTTAGCCATCTTCCTTCTTCTATACCTGCTGTTTGTCACTGTTGTTGGATGGAAAAATGTTACAGCTGTGTTCTTAGACCTTCAGACTTACTGAGAACCACGCACTCAGAGCTGGAAAGGACTTCCCATATAGCCCAGCCATTGTGCAAGGAAACTAGGTCCCAAGAAAGCCACGTGCCCTGTGTAAGGTTACTAAAATGTCACCTCTCAGCTGGCGCCTATCAGGAGACTCCTGAGTTCCCCCGAAGCCCAGCCCTCCAACAGAAGGCCAGAAGACTCTTCGGGCAAAGCTGCTTTACTAGTCAATGCAGAGAAGTTCTTACAAGAGCATTGCTGTATTTAGGGCAAGCTAATTTTGTAAAAACTTTTTTGACTTTACCCTTTAATTAATATTTACCTTTCCTTTAGCCAAGATGAAAAACGTACTTCCTTCCTCGCCCTCTCTAATGATATAATCTCCTTTGTCATAGTACTCCTGTGGGAAGGAGAAAGAAAACGTTAGATCAACTGGAGATGCACAACTGAGGAAAGACATAAAGGAAATAGAATTCCTCATTTCTTTGAAATAAATGTTCCACACCCGTGTTTTCTTTTCTCTTTTCTTTTTCTCCTCCCCCGCCCACCTTCACTGTAACTAAGCTTTCTTTACATTGCCTTCATAAACCATGGAAAAGTAAGGAAACATTTGCTTTTTTGTCTGCATTGATGTATTTCTTTCACAGAGAAAATTCACTTGGCATACTGAATTTCAGAGACAGAGCGCCATGGTTTGAGAAATGACAGTCACCATGCACACTTGTGTTTTTACCTACAGAACCCAAATACAATCTGCACAGGTGATCAGCCAGGCTCTGAAAACGAGGGCTAGGATTTAGAGAACAAGTGATTTTACACACCGAGCTGAAACTGTGAACCTTAATGAGTACTAGGAATTCTACCCTCCATTTGTCACCCTTTGAAGGGCAACAACTGCTAGGAAGATTCCACACGGACACTAACAGCACCGTTCTATGTGCTACTTCCAAAAATTCATCATCACAAAAGATCGTAAGGCCATTATAATTTTTATATATAAATTTCATGTTGTACTCCTGATTTATCCTCATGAGATCTCAAATGATCACTTATTTCTTACCACATATTAATGTCCCTTTCTCTCATATACTGCTGTGGGATTAGGGAATTCATGAGCAGGGAAAAGTAATTCATCTACCTGTCAGACCAAAAGAGCAATCTAGTGCCTCAGAAAACAAAACATGGATTAAACTGTCTGCCTGTGTGGTTTTAATTTGATCTGGTCTCTAAGTCAGAACTCAAATGAATCTCTTAATTATTATACAAATAAAAGTGGGCTTATTTAATTTTTTTAAAAAGCATAATTAACCTAGTAGCTCAGTCTTATTTTTCTTTTAAACTTGAAAATAAATTGAAAACTACTTTTCTGTCTTTGTTTTTTAATACCACTCATTTACTCTTAAAACCAACTTACATTTATGGAATAAGTATTACTCCCAATACTGTGCTCATAAACATACCTTTTATTTGCATGATACTAGGTATAACTTAGAAGATATTTCAACATCTCATGGAAAGTAACATGATGTGTTAGTGGAGCAAAATGGTCTTTAAAGCCGATCAGATCTAGATTCAAACTCCAGTTCTACACTAAATTTCACTTTCATCAATCCATACAATTAAAATAGGAATATTTACTTTCAAAGATTGAGAGACGTGCACTAGTTTTCTGCTGCTGCTGAAAGGAATGACCACAAATTTAGTGGCTTAGAACAAAACCTTCTTGCTATCCCATAGTTTCTGTAGATCAGCAACTGCAAGTATGACTTCAGTAGACTTCGTCCCTTTGGATCTCTCAAGACTGACCTTCAGGTATCAGTAGAGCTGTGCTCCCTTCTGGAGGCTTGGGAGGAAAGTGGCTCTCAAGGCTGCTGGCAGAGTTCATGTGTGGGGAAAGGTTCCTCCCTTTTGCCTTTCCAACTGTCCATGGCAGCTGTCCCTTAGTTCCCAGAGGCCTCTGCAGTCCCTGCACAGCGCCTCTGCATCTCAGAACCAGTAAGGACATGCCGATTTCCTACCTAAGAGTCTCTCTGACTTCCACTTCTGACTCTACACAGCAAAAACTCTGCTTTCAAGCACATAGGTAGCTATATTCAGCCCACCTATCCAATCCAGGATATTCTATGTTAAAGTCTCAAAACTTATTCATACAGTCCCTTTTGCCATAGGATGTAGTAACAATGCATACACTCCAGGGATCAGAGGCTGGAGGTTTTAGCAAAACCACAATAAGTCAATTAAAAGCAGCATTTTCTGAGGCACTAAGAACATCTTAAGCACAGTAACTGCTTGATTGGTACCTGCCACATTAAGGAAGAAGATAATAAATTCGGTTGGCTTTCACATCTTCTGGACCTCAGCTTCCTTTGCTGTAAACTGATGATTGGATACCTCCCACACTGATGGTTATAGGAGGATGAAGTAAGATAATGTATTTAAAGTACCTGGTGGAATGTTTGGTACACACCAGGTGCCCAGGGACTGAGAATTCCTTTGAAGAGGCTATGTCCAGGTCATCAGAGTTTTGCACAAGAATGCGGAGCTATCCAGGAAGGTTACATTCCTGCTGTTAGTTACAGCCAGAAAATTAACTTCGTCTAAGAGCTGGGGCATGAAGTGGGTCTGTGGCAGACCCAGCCTGTGAACCCTTTCATGCACATGTGTATATACTGTCTCCCCACTTTCACACCACGGCCCAGAGAGACCCTGAGAACCACCTGTTGAGAATGGCCAACTAGCCATCAGCTTGGTTTCTGAACAACTCTGCAGACCCAACTGACACCATCCTCCCTGAGTTATTACGTGCAAGGAGAGAAATTTTGATTTTATGTGAACAGTGATGTTCTGCATTTCTTGGCCTCACAGTTTGCTTACTCCAACCCTTCCTTCTTCCTCCTTTTAGAATTAACACAAACCCTCCCTACAGACAAACTCGCTGACTCTGACCCTTGAAGATGACTCTAGTCCTGGAGTCCAGCTGTCTCCATTATGTAACTAATTTCAAGTCTCTTTCCTAACGCTTTTGGAGTCACGTTATCTATGCTCATTTTTGATAATCTGCTCTTTCATCTCTCTGGTCCCCATATCAATTTCAGTCCCAATTATGCACTCAGAGAAAAAGGGACATAGGGAACTTTTGAGGTGCTATTAGGCTCAGTTATTATAAGGGCTTCGATATGTGCAGAGGTGTGTCTTTCATTCCTGTCAACCAGATAAGTTCAAAGGGTAAACATTTGCAAGGGGGCACTGAGAAAGAACTTTATTGTTTTTGTAAGGGACAACCTTCCTGGTGGGTACTTTTCACAGGGATGATTCTTTGTCACCCAAAACCATGGGAGGAAGATAAATAATACCTCCCAGTGTGTTGACAGTAACTTCATAGATCAGAAAAGGCTGTGGAAATAGGTCAGACCAAAAATATATAGTGGTAAGTACTGGCTGTGATGCTAGACTTCCCAGTGTTTGCCAACTGGGGAGAGCAGCCAGTCAAGCCAGGGTGGTCACCAGGACCAAAAAGGGAAATGCAAACAGTGTGGTTATTGTCATTGTGGTTACACTGCAAAGGGGTCCCTCAGAGGAGCGAGAAGCCATAGACTCCATCCGGTACAGCAGTGGTGTTCACACATTTTTTACTCTGACCTACTGTAAGACATACATTTCACATATACACCAAATACACACACAAGTGTGTGCACACACAGACGTGTATAAAATGGAAACTTTTGTCAAAATAATACTTATGTCACTACTTTGATTCCTTTTTTAAAAAAAAATTCCATTATATTGGTTCCAAGATCTAGTAATGCTTTGAGATCCACAATCTGAAAAAGATATTTTAAAAGATGTCTAGATGCCTTGAGAGTAGTGACTTATTGTACAGCAAAAAAAAGAGAAAAAATGAAATCAATTTTAGGATAAACAGAGGTAGAGATCAGAAGAAATATATAAATAAACAGGAACAGCTAAAGATGCAAAGAGTTTATTTTTCATTATAAGGAAAATGCTTACTTTGTGACAATCTAACCAAAGGTAGATTAAGAATATATAAAATCGAGAGAAAAGTCCAAGGTGATGGAGGAAAAATAGAGGCAAGGCTAGAATCCCTTACGGTCTATAGTTTGCAGCTAAAAATCTTCATTACACAGAAATATTGATGCTGTACAACCAGGTGTATAATGCACACACATACACACCCCGCCACACCATCGCGTGATATGTACCCAAATTTGTTGCTTAAAAAAATGTTTACAAGTATTTAGATTATAACCAGCTATTTTTTTCCTAGTAAAGGAGTTAACACAGCTTAGAAATTTTAAAGCAAACATGACTGGATTGCGTGGACCCTATCAGTCAACCCTCTCACAGAATTTGAGATTCTCTTAAGGCTAAGACCGCAGCCTTCTCTGGGTGGCTCACATTTATTTGGTTATCAGAAGAAGGGAGGGGAATACTCAAGAAGGGCAGAATCACTCAACAACTTCTCTAAGTAAGGTATTAAATTAATCCTTAATAAGGATTAAATTAATCCACCCATGCATGAGATGCCTGAGGCTATAGTCTTTAATGTAGTCTTTAATGTTATAGTCTTAGCATTAATGTAGTCTCAGACTTATTGCCAAGGAACTAGATCATACAAAATGAAAACCAACAGAAATTATTCCTAGTAGACTGAGTGGCCAAGCCAGTTACACAGAATTTTGTAACATTACCACTGAAATGGCCCATGGCCTCCATATTCTGTAGATGAGGAGATGCTAATGCTCACACAATTGACTGAGAGCTGGGAGTGACAGAGGAAGGGCCACAAACCCCAATTTCCAGACTGCAGACAGGTGGGCCTTCTATAATTCCCAGCTGCCCCACGTACAGTTCACTGGTCCATAAACAGCAACCGAATCCACAAGTATCTCTGCTTTCTCAGGGCTCTGGAGGTCATCATTCAAATGAGAAAAACTCTCTGGCTTATGCAAGTGTTAGCAGGAATTCTAAGAAAGACTAGACTTTGGAAAAGATGACTAAAAATGGCAAATGCCTGAATCAAGAGGTAGGCTGTGGAAAACTCTGAATATATGGCCCCTACTCCTAAACAAATCAGTGTTTCTCAAATTTAAGTGGGAGCTGGGCATTGTGGTGCAGGGCTGTAATCCCAGCCCTCTGGGAGGCTGAGGAAGGAAGATCCCAAGTTCACAAATTCTAGCCGAGCCTGGGCAAATTAATGACTTAGGAAGAACTTGTCTCAAGATAAAAAGTAAGAAAAGGCCTAGGGAGTAGGTAGCTCAGTACAAACCTATCCCCAGATCACTAGTACTGGGGAAAAAGTTTTAATGAGCTTAAGAATCCCATCACTTAACTGCTAAAAATGTGGATCTGGGGACTCCTATCAGTTTCTGATTTGGTGGGTGTGGTGTGGGTTATCATCCGTAGCTACGCTCCACCCTGAGATGGACTTCAAGGCACGGCTGTCTCTGGAGTGGACATTCAGAGTGATGAGAAAGCTGCTGGACCACTGCAGTATAGGGGCTATTTGTCAGGAAGTGCTACAGTCCACGCTACAGGCATCAGCTCAACTGCTTAGTGGCAGGAAATTTTAACCTCCCTCACCCATACACACATACAGAGAAGGCCTCCCAAATTCCAGTCCTGTACATGGAACATGACAGATTCTATCCGTTGTTCTTAAAGATGACAGAGTGGGTTTGTGGGACCACTGGTCGTAGAATCCTGTGGGTGCTCTGTCCTAACTCTGCAGCACTAGGTATTAACTGCTCTCAGGACCAGACTGAAGGATTCTGAGGCCAATCTATGCTGGTAAGCAATGCGCTCTTAGAGCTAAACAGATTCCATTACTCCCTTGTTGATCGCTTTTGCATCTGAGAATTTTTGCACACTACAGAGACACGTCTGTTTGCCAGGTATAAATAAAGAGCCCTTTATAAACTGAGCTGCTGTCTCCGAACGCTCAGATATAGTAAAGCTCTTCTAGGGTGCTTTAAAGGATGAGACTTTCAAGCTTGAATTGTGTGCTAATTAATACTGCATTTGAGCCTCCACCTCTATATTCTGTAGTTACTGCCTGTGGCTGCCATAAAAATGTATAATTTAGCATTTATTTTTAATGATACTAAATTTTCATATTTGCTGTCAGCATAGAATTCCCCTCTGGTAAATCTGTTCTATTAGTATTATATTAAAAACAGATTTCCTTGGTTAACAAAAAATAGGGCCTCTCTAGCTTTTAAACACACACACACACCCTTAGATCCTGGGATGAATTATTAATTTGTAACATCTGTGATTGGTTTATGTTACATTGGGAAAATCCCAAGAGGGAAGGGGTAGGCTGTCTTCTTGAAAATGACTTCATATCTGAGCCCCCCGAGCACAAGGCCAGGCACTGTGTGTCATCAAGGCCTGCCCTTGAGAAATTGTTGGATGAGTTCCACAAATTGTAAATGGAAACATTACTGGTGTCACTTACACTTAAGGACAGAATGGTCCCTGCTCCCTTCCCAGCAGATATTGGTTTACACTCTGTGTTGTGAATGACAGAAGCATGAGTCTGTCAACAATCGATCTTGTCAGGCTTTTTTTAAAGTTTTCTCCCACTAAAAACAGCTTTCTAAAAGCTTAAAGGCTAGAAGTAACTTCTTTACCATTCCCTACCTCCTTTAAATTCCATACAAGCCATTTTGGCTTCAGGGAAGTTGAACCTCCAAGAAAATGTGAGGGATTATTTGCTTTGAATTCTAGTCTCTGCAATCTGAAGAGGTTTCCACAAAATGCATAGCACTGGAATCCAAGGTACGTATCATAAAAGCATTATTCACAAAAAGACTTGATGAGGCTTGGACTAAAACCAACCATCCGGGTGATGCCTAAAATGAATTTTTGAATACATTCCAATGCACCGTTTTCCTCTAGATATTAAAATAGGTTAAGTGCTTCTTGAGTACAATTTCTTAAAATTTATCTTAGTGGCTTAGAGTGTTCAAGTATAGAATGCTCCATGGTCCTATTCAAAGTCCTGTCACCAAAAGCACAGACATGCCCTTTCTGTGCTCCATTTCCTAACATGCCTCACTGCCTCCTTTATGGAAAGCTCTGTAAGGGACTGTGATGTTAACTGCAGAAAATCAAATGCCCGTTGAGTAACGCAGATTAGTTTTATAAAATATACTAAAAAGATTTAAATATGTAAATCAAATTTCACTTTACACATGCAAATCCAATTTCTTTTTATACATTTCTGAAAAAGCTACCCCTTCTGGTCCCTTAATTCAGGGTGACTTGGCCTCAGGTTTGTACAATAGAAAGAGCCTCCTGGTCTGTGTTGACTACTGATCTGCAGTCTTCTCCTTTCTATTCATTTGCAGTGCTCATACGATAACCGGGTTCTGAAATCTTCTCATGAAATTTACCTCTCACTTTAAAATCTCTTACCACTTCCAAGCAGTCAATGATCTTGGTTAGTTTATCCTCAGGTAAATTCTTCAGCAAGGATACACTTCAAAATAAAAAGAAATCTTTATTATCTTCCTGCATTAAAATATAAACGCACATATAGATGTAGGGTCTAAAATTTTTACACTCATTTAAAAATTACAATGCACTTTAATTTCTCAAAAATAAATCCTATTTTGCAAACGAGGAAAGGACCAAGAGATAGAGTGAAAGGGGACACGCTGGAGGGGAAGGGGACATAAAATGAATTAAAATGTATTAATTCTATCTCCCCAGAAGGAATGAATCACTATGTATTGCAAACATATACTAATAGAAATCAAAATTTTTAAAAGTAAACCCCCAAATAACTGAAAACACATAAGTAACTGCACTTGACACATATTGGAGATTATGTCCTTCAAAACAGGCAAATAAGTGCAAATAGTAGGTTATTACAAAGGGGGAATCACATTCTTTTTGGAGCAAAAGTAATTTCATATTTCTTGTTGTTTTCAGAGTGAATCACATCTGGAAATGCATTCCTTCCCACGTTTTAATATCTCTTGTACTAGCCAAGGTGAGCAACCCTGCTTGCAGTGAAGGATCAGCTTTATCTAACTCCTTGTAACTAAGTAAAAACTGAATCCAGAGGGAATGTGGGAATCAGCAGTGAAGTCATTTTTGATTACTACTCATACTGTACTGTCTCTTGAAATCAGTGGGAGCCACAGGCACATCCTAGAGACAGTTTTACAGATAATAATGTATAATGGGTAAAATAGTATACTGAGTTTTTTATTCTAAGAAATCAGAAATTTCAGTATGATTAACCGATTTTTTAAATTGTTCTCTTAAAATGTTTCTCTTCTGCTGTTTTTATTCAGGACTATCCGTACAATTTCTGGAAAATAATTATGTCTTTTTACCATCTACAATTTAACACTGATGTAGGAAAAATAATTCTACTTCGAAAATGCATGATTAGTTCTGATTGTGCAGAGGCAGGGAGCTGGGTCTCGAGCTCTCTTGCACATGTGTACCGGGAGGCACAAAGCCAAGAGACACGTGTAAGAATGTCTGCACCAGAATCAGGTGCAATTGCAAGACACTGGGACAAGCCCCAGTGGGAGAAGGATAAATACACAATGATAGAGTCAGGTAACAATGCTCTATGGCAGGAGAAATGAATCTTAGAAAAAATACTGAGTCAAAAATTCAGTGGCAAAAGTAACACCATTTTTATGAAGTTTGAAAGTAGGGTAAATCAAGCTGTAGGCAAAATTATAAATTGTACTAAAGGAATGATCATTAAACTTGCTACAGACTACGGCCAAGGAAAGGGGAAGCAGGAGGCTGCAAGTGCCCTGCAGGAACCCTGAGAATGTCAACAGCACCCCAACTTTCTATTTTTTCTATTTTTTAGGTTTAGCACTAACTTCATACATATTTGTTTTGTTAGGATTTTTCCCTTAAAATCATTTTTCACTAATATACAAAAATTGTCCATATCTATAGGGTGTTTCCATGTATGTATACATTGTGCAAGAATTAAATTAGGGTGAACATTTATCTCCTCAAAGGGTTATTACCTCTGTATGGTAAAAGTATTCAGAGTCCTTTCTTCTGGTCTTGTGACATATACATTACATCACCATTATATGTAGTCACCCTACTGTGCAAATGCACACAAGAAATTCTTGCTTCACTCTACATATAACTTTGATGAACCTTTCCCTGCTCTTCCCTTCTTGTACTCTCCCCAGCCTCTGCTAACCACCATTCAACTCTGAACATCTACGAGACCAACTTTGTTAGATTCCATGCATGAGTGACATAATGCAGTACTCATCTTTCTATGCTTGGTCTATTTCATTTAACATAATGATCTTCATTTCTAACATGTTGTAACAAATGGCAGAATTTGATTCTTTTTATGGCTGAGTGATATTCTATTCTCTGTGTGTGTGTGTGTGTCTGTGTGTGTGTGTGTGTATGTGTGTGAGCATGTACTATATTTTTTCATCCATAAATTAGTGGCTGGCCATTTACATTGTATCCATTTCTTGACTATTATAAACAGTGCTGCCAGAAATGTAAGAATGTAGATGTCTCCTTGACATACTGATTTCATTTCCTTTGGATACATACCCAGAATTGCCTGCAGTATGATCTTTTGTAACTTATGTATGTACTACATATCTTACATATCACATACTTCATATGTAATAAAAATGTAAATGGAAAAATGTTTACTGTATATTATTTTAAAAAGAAAAATGAATTTCCTTTTTATACATCTCTGTTGTTGAAATGGTAAAAGGTAGCCAGAACTTGTCACTGATTAACAAACATTTATGAAAGTTTTACTACTGGTCCAAATATAAGTCTATAATGCTGGTAAACTTCTTCCCTTATAAGTCTGGTAGGGAGACAGATATGAGGAGAAATCTTAGTCTATATTCCCTCCAGGAAGGTAGGGATCAAGTTTATCTTGTTTACCATCAAATCCATGACTTCTAGGCCAGTCAATAAATATTTGTTGAGTGAGCTAATAAAATAACAAAAGCAAAGAAGGAATATGCACTAGTAGATTATGTAAATTCCTTCCATTTAAAACAGAATATGCAAGACTTAAGAATTTACAATTTATTTTTGGACTGTACAGTGAAAGAACACATTGTTAATCAGTAGAACATCACAGATGTTAAGCGTTCATTATAGTACTCGTTACAGCTTCTGAGACTGTCAAAACTCTCACCAATGACACAAAAATAGTCTAAGTAATGAACTTAGATTCAGAAAATTTCTTTAATTTGGAGCTTGCTTTTTAAGTTACACAGACATTTGTTTCCATATAAATTGTTGTAGTCAAGTTGTTGAGCTACAGAACATTCTACAAAATGAGTATGTTCCAAGGATCCATGTCATCAAGATAAATATAGCAACATTTTTGAAAAGTTAAATTGCTATAAATATGGTAATTTAGAAAATGGTGTGGCTGTTCAAATGAGAAAGGGAATATCTCAGGTAAAACAAGAATAGTAAAATAAATTAATATTATCCTAAGTGAAACATTACTAGAACGGTTATCTGGTAGCTATCCTCTTTCAAATTCTAAATGTCTTTCAAAGACAAGTAAGCAAGCCAGGTGAATTTCTTTAGGACTTTTTTTTCACATTTTTCTATGCTACACTCTATGGGTCCTATTATGGCTTGTATCTAGACGTTCCCCTAAAGCCTCATGTGGTTATAGGTGAGGCTTTTCAGAAGTGGCTGAATCTAGAGTGTGTGATACTGGGATTAATGGTGTGTGGTTACTAAATTAGTCCACTGAATGGTTTGGCATAGATCTAAGTAGGATCAAGGGTGCCCCACTCTGGGGGGGTATGCAATATCAGATATAGGCTAGTATGGTAACTTGTCACTTTCTTGCTGTTTGCTGCATTCTGCCTGTCCTGCTTTGCCATGAACTGTTTCTCACCTGTGATGCCCCTCTGCCATGCCACCCTGCCTTACAGCTGGCCAACTATGGACTGAAACCTTGACAAAATGTAAGCTAAATAAACATTTTCTCCTTTAATTTGGGATGTCATGTATTTTGTCTCCATAAGGTCAAAAGTAACTAAAACAGACCCTTTGATACAAGGGCAAAAATTAGTGGAAGAAATAAACCAGTATACCAACTTAATTAAATATAACTTTCATATATGAGAAGTAAATAATTTTTATATATTTCCTTGCAGGGCATTTAGCACAAGAGAATACTTTGCCCTCTTGGTTTAATTATGCTAAAAATGTTTAAATTAGGGAGCTTATAAAATTATTATTCTGATAAAATCAACATATGTATCCTCTATCATCAGCTATGCTCTTTCCTCATTGTGCTATACTTACCTTCGGAGGAAGTTTCTGTATTGTTGATCTCTAGCTTGGGCTGTTCTCCTCATGATGTTCTGGAAAACTTCTCGATCTAGTGCCCATGTTTTAACATTGGTAATAGCTTTAGAAAAATCAAGAAAATAATAAAATATTGCTTCACATCACATTAAAAAAGTACTCCAAAGTTAATCAGTGCTATGACTTGTATTTAGATGTCCCCCCAAAGCTTCATGTGGTCATAAGTGGGGCTTTTGGGGGTGGCTGGATCTAGGATATGTGATACTGGGATCAAGGATGTGATGCTGGGATTAATTCATGGTGTGATGTCAGGATTAAGGCCGCCCCGCCATAGGTGTGACTGCTACCCATCCTAAGGTTGAGTAACCTGGATAAGATATAAGAGACAGAAAGCGTATCATCTGTGGCTCACTACTTTGCTGGCTTCTGCCCACCATGAACTGTTTCTCCTCTGAGTGTACCTCTACTATGCTGCCCTGCCTTGGAGCCATCCAACTGTGAAGTGAAACCTCTACAAACTGCAAGCCAAATAAACTTTTCTTCCTTTAACTTCGGGTGTTGGGTATTTTGTCATAGTAATGAGAAAAGTTACTAAAACAATCAGCAAATTTGCATTTCTTGGAAAATGCATCATTTAAACATGCAAGTGGAAAGAAGAAGCAAAATAAATAGTGACTAATTTTATAAATTATGTTGGCTTTGAAATGTACCATGATTTGGAAGTGGGTAGCAGAAGATTTCCTCTCTATGTTTTTGTTAGAATGATGTTCGAGTGAGTTAGCAATTCCTGATTACACACATCATCAAGATGAATTTCAGATTCTTGCTGTAAGATTACAGAGGGCCAGCAAACCTGTGGCTAATCCAGAAAGTGAAAAATTCACAAGCAAGTAACTGGAAGTTAGATTTCTGTGTGTATGTATATTTTTTATGTGTCTTTTTATGTTGTTTAGACATTGTTGCAAAACAGATCTAACATATTTTAAGGATCTCTAGGAAAGTTTGGGTACAAAAATACCTCAGCAGTGTTAATACATGAGGCATGGTCTCAAACACTGAGTAATACCACATCTAAGTTATTTTGAAGAAAATCCAAGATTGTCATGAAAAAAATCAATAAAAATTGGAATCCCTAGGAGAAACAATTAAGCTAATCCCAAAGTGATTCATGAAAATGCTCATTGCTCTGATTCACATCCTTTTTGGTATGCTATTTATATATTTTCATTGGTTTTATTTTTAATTTTTCTGGTTTATGACATGGTCAGAACCTCACAGAAACTAGAAAGCAAACTTTGCGTGAGCCAAGACAGATGCCCATGTAGTAAAAAGTGCAGCGGCAGTTAGAGAAATAGTGGATCATTTCAATTCACAGCCATTTCCACAGTGTACAGATGGGTATCCAAGAAAAGAGTTCTTTTTTACTTGAATTATTTAGATAAATGAGTCATATAAATCCTCCTGTGGCATAGTACTTCTATTAAAAAGAGCACATGGTGCAAAATAGGAATCAGAAAGCCTAGATCAGGATGCAGATATAAGGTGACCTTAGCGCTGCATAACAATTTACAGACAGAGCCTTTCATTTGTTACCTTTCACAGAGGCAGTTCTCGTACAGTTGTACAGAATGGCTAGTTCCCCAAATGTGGTCCACATAGGGATAGATGACAGCAACTTCTCTCCTTGGAACACCTCTACTTGACCCTCTATCAAGTAAAATTTCAGAAAAACACAAATAGTCAAAATCTACCTGGATTCCATAAATTAAAATAAAAATAGAAATATAAAAATGTACAGGGAAGAAATTGTATGATTCTTCTTACAATATTATGGCTAAAAGTGGCACCCCAAACCATCTCTGCCACGTACTCACCTTGAGAAAGTTACACTCTCGACCTGAACTTCCTCACTGGTAATGGAGGTAATATTTACCTCATGCATTTGCCATGATGAGTAAGTTAATATAAACAGAGAACATAACACAATGGGTAGGATGTCATGAATGCCGTGTAAATACTAGCTATGGTTAATATTACTATCATTGCAGCAAAGCTCTTCCCCTGAAGCAGTGGACTAGATGGCAAATGTTTTGCTTAAAGTTCATTCTATCCTACAAAAAATGTAGTACATAGAACCACTTCCCCTCTTCTAGGAGCATAACAACCACGGTATGTCTTGAAAACTCAGCAGTCACAGTATGTCCTGAAAATTAGCTATTGGCTGCAGGACTGGGGGAAGTTATTTTCATGGTCCACCACTGTTACCTGACCTCACATTCCTTAAAATATAATACCTATCAATTCTAAGAGGAAGTCACACACAAGAATGATTGGCACTTGCCTGTACTAGAGGAAGGGGAGAAGAGCCTCAGGCAACCTGCTCATAGTTCTTCCGCCCTGGCAACTTGCCTTTCTCTTCAAAGTCTCACCCAACCCAAAGCATAAGGAAAAAACATCTAGATTCTTAAAGGAAGAGAAATTCAGGGGGAGTACTCCTTTCCTAGAAAGAATTAGCTTTTCTACCCCCTAGTTCACCATTGAGTAGCTGGATCATCTATCCATCCATTCATTTAACAAATCTGTTCTGGGTATTTATGTTGTACCAGGGTCTGTTCCCGATGCCAGAACAAGAGTAGACAACAGAGAAAAAAAATATTTATTCTGATGGAATTTATATTCCAGTAAGTAAAAAATAATACCTGTTTTGGTTCCACATTCTACAAATTAGAAATGCAATTTTGTAATTTCTCATTATAGCAAATTCTGCCCTGCAAAGTCACTTGATGGTACTGTCCAGCTGATATCTGGATTTAATGCTTTCCTCGGAATTTTTCTAATTGTTTATGGCTTGTGGGACTTGACACTTCAGAATTATGTGAAATATTAAAAGTTTAAGCTATATGCTCGTGCTGTTTGCTATTCATGCTGTATTTTGTAAAGGGGAGATGTTTAATTATCAAATTAATTTGCTCAGACAGATAATTAAACCAGGCAATTCAGTCTTTAGATGACACTCTAATTAATTCATATAAGAAACCACCCAATTTTCATTTCTGTGTGTGCCATTGCCCTGATCTTCATAGCTGCATCAATACTGATGTCTGTTCAACCTTTTCTCTCCCCACGCCTTTCATCAGAACTACTGGCAAGGAACAAGATGGGCTGACACAAATGTCTCACCTCTCCTAGCAGGTTCCATAAATATTTGTGGACTTAATGACCTATCTCTCTTGCCAGAATGCTCTAGCCCAGCTAAAATAGATGGGAAATGGCCAAGAAAAAAATTTGTAAGACTATAAAATTGAACACAAGTTAAATTAAGATTGTAATTCACTACCTGAGTAGAATAATTACTTGGGAATGACCATATAATTTTAAAGTTGCCTATAAAGATTATATAGCAAGCAATGGACAAATAATTATAAAACACACATATTTTAAGAACCAGTCTATGAAAACAGTACTTTCATCCTACAAATTGAACTGCATGCATGTAATAATTTGTTCAGATAGGCAGCTTCTTCCCACACCTAAGAGCCCAAGGAAATCATAATAAAAATATTGCCTAGATTACCAGGAACGATAATGCAAAGTAGATCACAACATATCTCAGGTTACCACAACACTTGGGTAAGCCAATTTAACTTTTTTCCTAAGACTGAAAAACTTGGAGACAATTGACAGTTTGATGAGCCATTTAATGACTTTGATCCTTGTTTAGATAATTTCTTGCTTCTGTAAATAAAGGAAAAAATTTGAGATCCATGCAGTTCAGAAACAAATCCTTTGTCTATCTAGCTGTTACGCTCTTCCCAGCATACAAGCATATTCAAGCAATGACAGAAAAAGAAAACCACTTAAATAGTTCTAGAATTGCTGGTATTAGTTGTAAGGCATTCTATCTGATCTGTCAAATGATTGTATGTATCTAAATTTTTCTTTGAAATCACTGATATATATATTTTTTCAAAATAATTTCCAGAATGACAAAAGTAATTTTTTCCTAGTACAATTATCTAAAACTGTCAACACGAATAGTTGGATTTTGAACAGAAAAAGTTCTTTTTTAAGTGAGTGGCACTGTGATTAAAAGTATGGATTCTTAAGTCAGATTGCCTAAATTTGCATTTTACTGCTACCATTTATATATACTGTGTGGCTTTGAGTAAGTTACTTCTCTAGGTCACGGTCTCCATGGAGATAACAGTCCTTCCCTTACAAGACCAGTGAAAAAAATGCAATAAAACCTGTATATTAGTGCGCAGTGGGATTCCTGCTGTATAAAAAGCATTTAGTAAGTAATAGTATTAAAATTAGATCAACAATATTGCCATTTCATGATGTCAGTCTGTTACAATTTTCACAGAGCAAGCAGTTATAAATGATTACAAAAAGCCCTAAGACTAATACATGTGGTACCTAGACAAATCTGTGAAACCTACCAGCCAGTACAAAAATATGGTTTCCGGGCTCTCCCTGCTTAATGATGTAGCTGCCTTGCTGATAGCTTCTCCCATACATACACTCCACCATGTCTTTGATCTGCTGAGGATCCAGTCTCTTCAGAAACTGATTTTTATTAAGGGCATCAGTAATGAGCTTCTTCTCACTGGTGTAACAGAAAAGAGACATTAGTTACAGTTCATGAGAACCATGCTTTACCATTTAATTCACTTCATTCTGATTCTTAATATTATTACCTATGTAGTGACAACTTTTCCTGCAAGGACAATTTTTTTTCTGGTCTCACTGAACACTTCACCTTTATAACCACCATATCCTACACAGAATACTCTTAAAAATATTTCTGAATATTTTGTGGTATTTATCAGCATACCAATTAGTTACATTCCCAATTCCATCACATCTCTCAAAGGACCATTGGTGGGAAATTTCTGTCTCACACAACTTCCAGGAGGAAAACAAATCTGGTGAATAGAAAGTTTTATTTTAGAGATCACCACACAGCATTCATTCATGGATAGATGTATACACAGTGCCCATGCAACTAGTTATTTTATATCTTACTTAGCTCTCACCACTACCCTATGAGATAATTACTATTCCCATTTTATGGAGAAGTAGAAGAAAAAGTAAGAAGCAACTTACTTTTCATCAGATTTAAATCTAAGTCTGGAGTCTGTGCTGCTTTTATTTCATCCTATCCCATCCCATCTCTTCCCCTCTTCAGAGGAGGAGAGTTGGTTTCCTTGGGCACCTTGAAGTCTGATCCATCCCCGAGGGCTACCACGCCAATCTGGTTTAGGTATTACTCTGAGCACGACTAGGCAGGATAGAATCCATGTTTTGAATGTCACCCTTTGTCCATAACTCAAATACATCCTATCTGTTGACAAACCCATAACATTCTGCTTTCTATTGCAAAAGAAGTTAACTAAGACAAATCATTACTTAAATTACCATACATTTCAAATATTTTAACTGACATACTTCATATGCAAAGATCACAAAGTTACTGAATTGGAAAAAAAGTTGCTTTATGAACTGTCACACTCTCTGAACAACATATTGACTATCCATATGATTTTTCTAAAATGGCTTTTTTTCTAATTTTTCATCAAATGCCCTCTGAATATTAACTTTACTATTTCAAAACTAGTGATCTTTTACTCAAAGCAAGACTTCATGGCATTAGTTAACTTTCTACATGGCTTCACCATCACACAGATCATTAGGCTACTACAGGAAGGGGCCAGAATGAATTTGTGTACAAATTTCTTCTTCTCTGCACTGACTAATCATCCTTGGTGCCATCCAAACTGGTGAATGCCTTGAAAACTTCCTTCTCCTTTCATCACTAAATCTTGTTAATTCCCTTTACCAGCTATCACTATTATTCATTTTGTTTTCCATTTGCAAAGTTATCCTCACAGTCAAAGAATAAATCATTGGTTCGGACAATTTTAACCACTTCCTTTCTGGGATTGCAGCTTCCGGTCGCTTTCATTACAGCTCATCTTGGATGGTATTATTCAATTAATCTTGGTAGGAAAAGACTGATCAAAAATTTCATTCTAATTTCACCCTAACATCATTCTCCCTTTACAAGTAAACTCAGCAAAATATACACTGAGCAAATATGTCTCTTCGTTAGGTAATTGCGGTGCAAGTGGTAGAACTGTGAACAGTACCAAAAAAGCCCATGGACTTTCTCTGCTAGGTTAATAATTCAGTCAGTGTTTCCCTGATGCCCACACAGCCCTATTTTCCAAAATATGTTTCAAGAAGGACTTTCTTTATGTGTGAAAGTGTGCTGGAAATTCATAATGCACACCTTAAAATTGCAAAGTCTGTCATTAAACAAATCTGTATAAACCAATTTATAACATTTTGATATATTTTTATTTCTTTGTGGCTTACTTTCTGGTAACCTTTCATAAAAGTACTGTGAAATTACTTTTTGCCCATAGAAGAAAATCAATAAATATCCCAGAATCTAGCATTTGTCATTTTCTACTATATAGCTATTCCTTATCTATCCAGTACTTCCTACCTCAAATGCATTCTGTCTTACAATGAACTGATATCCTCACTATCCCTTATGTCTTCCAGCTTTATCTTAAGGTTTGAACATGTTTTCTCCTCTAACACGGTTTGTTTCTTTTCTCCTCAGCCTTTTCAAATCCCATGCATCTGCCAAGAAAGCTCTTGTGACCCTTCATAGATGCTGCAACCCACACCATTTTTCCATTCTACCCTTAACTCCTAGAATACTTCATGTCAATGCAACTTGACAAATTTTATCAAGCACTGACTTAGAACATAAAATTAATTTAACAATGCTCATGACCTCAGAGATTTCCAAGATTCCATAATTTACTGTATAAATGTATTGTAATATTCTACTCCTGGAAAAGTTCTCTATGAATTTTTCTCTAAACTAGAATATAAATTCTGGGAGGAGTGAATATTATCTAGATTTTGCCCCGTTAAAGGGCAGTGTGTAGCACTGACTATGAATAGAGACACTGCAACTCTTCCTACAACTATGATAGATGAACTATTATCAACACAACTCTCTCCACTCCCATGAAACAAGGACAGAGATGATGAGACAGAGAGGGAGATACACATACAGGCAGATAGAAACCTCTTGAAAGTGCTGGCTATCTATCAATATAGGGAGGACTGGAGGAGCTATGAGCTACACCAGATCCTGAGCCTGGCATTCGTTTATGCTGTTTCCTTCAAGGCATTTGCTAACTAGCAGGCCTTGAAGTTTTGCCTTGAATTTTGACTTTCTTAAAAGGTGAAGCAAACAAAAGCTGGTATTCAAGGCACACCATGAAAGAGGAACCATGGTAAGCACCCATGATTTCAGGAGGGATATTCAGAAGGTTGCAAAGTAGGACAAAGAACTAACAAAAACAGCATAACCAAAAGAGATTACAACTCTCCAATTCCACAAAGTGACCACTACATGAACAAAACACTATTTTGATTAAAATGACTTGCCGCTAGTGTAACTGACTGCCAGAAGCAAAGGAAAATCTTTTCTTTAAGAAGTTAACCCAAATCTAGACACTCAAATTTTCTCTAAAGATTTTCATAAGGAATATCTCACACAACATGTGAAATTACCAGGCATAAAAAAAAGAAAAGATCCAATGACTAAAGACCAAGAGAAAGAGACACTATAATCAGATCTATAATAGAAAAGATATTGTAGTTATTAGGAATAGACTTTAATAAAACTGTAATCACTATGTTTAAGATAATTAAGGAGAAAATGTATGTCAACAGAGAACATGTATCTTTCTAATAAACAAATTGAAATTGGAATACTTAAAAATACAGTATCCAGGCCTTAGAACATAATAGATAGGTTTAAAATCTAATAAGATAAAACAAAAGCATTAGAATCTAAGTATATATAGGTACAATTAATGTACATAGAAGACTAGAGAGATTAGAGAATGAAAAAACAAAATATAGGAAACATATGAGGCATAACAAAGAAGTTGGAACGCATGTATAATACAGGCCACTGAAGAAAGGAAAATAATTTGGAATAAAGTAATACATGAAAGAACATTTAAGAATTTTCATAAATCAATGAAAAAACATCAAATCACAAACAAGATGCACTGCCAACTCAAAAGAAAATGAGGAAAATTATAGTGATGTCTAATCAAATTGCAGAAAAACAAAATACAAAAAGAAAACACATAAAAGTAGTGAAAAATAAATGACTAATAGGAATAATCACTCTTCAACAAAAATAATAGAAGCAGAACACAGTGAAACATCTTCCAACTGCTCCACCAAACCTACTTTAATAGCTATACCCAGTGAAAATATCCTCTCAAAATGAAAGCAAAATGAAAACATTTTCAACATGTTTCCCATTGGCAATAGATTCATAATTAAGGGAGAGTTCCAGAAGAAGGAATTCCATCATTTCTGGATGAAAGCTAGAAAATAACAGAAGAAAGAGCAATAGGAAAAATGAATATGTGGGTGACTAAATGAACATTGTCTTTATAAAAGAATAATAATAGTAATATCTCATGCAGTGTAGAGAATAAATCAATGTATAGAAACAGTCAAAATGCAAGTGATGAGACAATAAATGGAGTTAGAATTTAAGATCTAACATTGGTAAAAGTACCAATCTATATTAGAACTTTAATAAAACACTGATCTGAATAATTTAAAGTAACCCCTGCAAGATTAGTCAAAGAATGTTTACCTAAAAAGCTAAAATAAAATAAAATGGAATAAAGACATGTACTTAATCCAAGGAAATAGCAAGAAAAGGGAGAAAAAAATTGAATGATAAAAGAAATTGAAGAAGTAGAACAAATAGATGTCAGCTATTAAGGGATTCAATTTAAATCCAAATATTTCATATTTGTATTACATTATAAATGTACTAAATATTTCAGTTAGAAGACAAGATTGTCAGAATACTAAAACAAAGATATAGGTATATATCTATATAGGTACATATGTATACATAGGTATATACAATAAATAGGTATATAGGTATATATATAGATACAGGTATATACACATATACATACATATGTGTCTACTCATGTTTTTATTTTAAGTACATATGTACCTGGTAAGATAGCATGAAAATATATAAATCAAAATTGATCAAATTAAAAGAGGAAATATATAAATCCCTCATAATTATTTTGGAAGATGTTAACATATCCAAATAACTAGTGAAACAACCAAAAATAATCCAGAAACCAGAAGATCTAAACAACTGATTATCCAAATTTACTTAATTTCTTCAATATGATTATCCAACTTTACTTAATCTCTTCATCTACTTGATATTTTAAGCCTGTACTCAATAAATTCAAAACACACAGTTTTTTCAAGGATACCTCAACCTTCATGAATATTTACCCAATGGTGAACCTTAAAGAACAATAAAGTTCAACAAATTTTGTAAGACTGAAATAACAGTACATTCTTTGACTATAAACTAATGAGAAATTCATGGCAAAGGCAGAGTGCTGAAGGCAGAGAGAGAGAGAAATATGATGAGTAACAGAAATGAGGAGACATCACTACAGACATTACAGATATGAAAAATGAACTAATTTTTCACATTACATTACAGATGTA